TCCTGCCCATCCCTGCTACTCTGTCATCTCGAGATACAGCAGCAACTCTGGATTTTAAAGGCAGATTATATACTGCCAATCAAATCTGCAAGATGCGGTAAATACGGTAGCTCAAAATAAAATTTAACAACCTGTGTTTTTATTTTAGGGTTGGCTCTATATTTTTAAAATTGGTGATTGTATTAGTTGAAAGTTTGGGCATGTACATCTGCCATTCAGCTTATAAAACAAGGAGTTAGGGAAGATGCTTGTTAAAACAAGAAAGAACTGGATTATTTTAGTAGGTTTCAGAACATTATTGCTTTTTATTTTTTAATTTTTAAATTTTGTTTTGGTTTGTTTTGGCCACACCCTGCTGTTTGTGGGATCTTAATTCCCCAAGCAGAGATCAAACCCGCGCCCTTGGCAGTGAAAGTGCAGAAAGTGTGTAACAGTCAATTAACACATATTTTGTATATGTATTATATACTGTATCTTAAAATAAAGTAAGATACAGTAAAGAAAATATTACTAGGAAAATCGTAATGAAGAGAAAATACATTTACATTATTGTACTGTATTTATTGATACTGTAAGTTTAAGTCATGTTTATAAGATGAATCATCTCTCAGTACCTCCATCAATATTGTCTTATTTAATACAAAACACTATAGATGTTATACGTATTACTAACATGATTCATCAAAAATGAAAGATAATGTAAAAAAGAAATCATATTTATTTCAGATATAGTAATTAATTCACTAATAATGAAGAAGCAATATGATTGCTTTGTGGTAGCCTAGTGTAATTGTTACAATTGCTTCACAGTTGCCTAGCCTATACACTAATGAATGAACCATTATAACAATCTTATGGCCTACAGTATCACAGTCATATTCATAACATAGTATTAGAAATATTAAATAAAAAAAAATGTACCTGTGATGATAGCCCCAATTTCCCCAATTAAGAAAGAGAAAGACATACTGTATGGTAATGCAATGAAGGTAATGTAATGAAAGCAAAGTTATAAAACAGGAAGAAAACTAACACATTAACTTTATATTAAATATCACTCACCTTATGCCTATGTAGGAACAGACTAACATGTACATATATTCTATACATTCTTGACATACCAAACTTTTTCTTAATTTTTTTGACATTTCTAGGCTACACGGTTAGCCTGCAAGTTTTTTTTCAAATTGTCACAAATCTCCAAAAATGTTTCCAATATATTTATCGAAAAATATCCGCATATAAGTGGACCTGTGCAGTTCAAGCCCATGTTGTTCAAGCGTCAACTGTATTCCAATTAAGAATTCCAGAAAAATAAAAAATAACAATAATATCTAAACAAATTCTCAATTATTGTTGAGTTACTCATATTTTATAAACTTTAGATCACCTTTCATTCCCTACTCTTTAAAAAAATTTTTTTAAAATTTCCTGTCCTTTTTCTCAGGACTGTACAGACGATTACTGACAAAAAATAAATGTAAAGACAAATCTTTATTTATAATCTAGTCGTTCATATTCTTTTCTAATAATCAAGATGGGACATCTTTACTTTTATTCACATTTTGTAGTTGAAATTACTAAAATTAGAATTATGAAATTACCCAGCAATTAAACTAGATGACACAAAAAAATTCATTCTAAGTTTTCTCTTAAGAAAAACAAAAACAAAAAAACAAAAAACAACCATTTATATTGGAGGAATTTTTTTTTTTTTTTTTTTTTCTTGCGTTATGCGGGCCCCTCACCGTCGCGGCCTCTCCCATTTGCGGAGCACAGGCTCCGGACGCGCAGGCCCAGCGGCCATGGCTCACGGGCCCAGCCGCTCCGCGGCACGTGGGACCCCCCCGAAACGGGGCACGAACCCGCGTCTCCTGCATCGGCAGGCGGACTCTCAAGCACTGCGCCACCAGGGAAGCCCGATTGGAGGAATTTTTGTTTTGTTTTGTTTTTTTCAATAATTCTTTTCTCTTTGTACAAAGATTTTATCCCTAGGTTAGTTTCAGCTTAGTAATACAGAAAAAGCAATTCCTATTTTATTTATTTAAAAATTATTTATAGCATTTAATAGGTACTGGTGTGTTCAAATGCTAACACATTTATTCATCATAACAACCTGCTGAAGTAGATCCTACCCTTAATCTCCATTTTACAGATGAGAAACTGAGGCGCAGACAGTTTAAATGTCATGCACCAGGCAGTCTGGAGCAGAGTTCTGCTCTTTGCCTCTACCCACCCCTGGAGCATCCCCTCCCTGCTCTTGCTTCCCACTGGGTATCCCCACACCTCTCACATATGAAACCTACCTAAGTATAATCCAACTAAGGGCATTAAAACTAAGGGTGAAAAATAAACTACACAATAATAAAGTCTCCAGTTAACAGGTTGAAATGTCTTCTTAGAAATTAGAAAAAAATAAAATATGACAGCAATTACTTCTCTAGAGGGAAATCAAATCGCTGGAAGCAGAAAAGTCCATATAACATGGAAATGAAATGAGATTTGTGATCATAAAACAAGCAAATGGTATTAAATTCACGATCTAGCTCTTAGATACTTCACAGGAACACGTTTTTTGGTGCTTAGATGAGCAAAGGGTGCTACTCACACTAGGTATCCCCTCCTGATTCCTATGACCTATTTTGTTCCTGGATAAAACTAGAAACTGTGTGCCTGTGAGCCCAACGCAGCTTTCCCTCCCTGCAACAGCTCCAAATGACCACCCGTTCCTTATTTCATGGATTAATCAACACCCTCTACACAAAAAAAGGTGGTATTCATGGATTTACTCGAGCTCTGGAAGTTCCAAAATTTCACAGGGGAAAGCAGCTTTGCAGCATTGTGACACTTTGTTCTAATTTAAACACTGAATTAAACTTTTGATCCTGGTCATCCCCTCACCACTGCGGGATGATATGACACCAAGTTTGATTGATTTGTGCTTGTAAAATACCAGGAAATAAGGGAACATTCTTATGAATAATTTGAGATGACGTGTTTTAACAGAATGTATTTATGCAGACGTAAATAAAATCATCAAGCCCCAAGATACGTATGCGTGACACATGAAAAATCAGTTCTGACTTTAAAATGTATATCTCAGAAATAACTAAAGAAAAAAAGAGAAAAACCAGTTCCCTCTCCTCCCTCCTCCCTCGCCTTAACTACCTTTCCCCCACGCCCTCCCCGACGGCGCGGATTACGCGGGAGGCCCGCGGGGCCGCGCCCTCCTTCCGGACCCCGGAGCGCCAGTGCGTCGGGGAATTTCCCTGGCCCTGGGCTGCCAGCCCCTGTCCGATCGGGATAAAAGGGCTTCGCTGTCCTATCGGGATAAAAGGGCTTCGCCCGGCTCGGGGAAGCCACAGAATCCGCCCCGCCAGCCCTCCAGCCTGCCTTCCCGCCGCAAGCAGCGACCCTCCGAGCTGAACCCCATGGCCCGCGCCGCGACCCCCGCCGCCGCCCGCCTCCTCCGCGCCGCGCTGCTGCTCCTGGTCCTGGTGGCCGCCGGCCGGCGCGCAGCAGGTGCGACCCGGCGCCCGGCATCCCCAGGGCGGGACGGGGACGGGGACGGGTGGGGGCCCATCCCGGGACAGCCCCCTGACCGAGTCTGTCCACCCCGCAGGGGCGCCTGTGGTCACCGAACTGCGCTGCCAGTGCCTGCAGACCTTGCAGGGGATTCACCTCAAGAACATCCAGAGCGTGAAGGTGACGCCCCCGGGACCCCACTGCGGCCAAACGGAAGTCGTGTAAGTGCCGCCGCTGTTGCTGTGCTTGTCACCCCCGCCTTCCCGACGACCCCACCCCGACCCCCAGCCCGACCTCACGTGGATTCTCCCTTCTCTCTGCAGAGCCACTCTCAAGACTGGTCAGGAAGTTTGTCTCAACCCTGAAGCTCCCATGGTTAAAAAAATCATCAACAAGATGCTAAACAAGTGAGTTATGGTTTTTATTCACACGTGTGACCAGAGTCAGTCATCTGCCTCCTTTTTTTTCTATCCGAGAAACCCACGGTTTAGCTGCAGGACTGAAAGTCATTATAATTTCACCATTAAATTTGCTGTTAAGGTCAGAAGGATATTTCTAGTGCCTTCCATCCTCATCCGCCTGTCATGAGTGTGGGTAAATGTATGTTCCTAAAAGATGAAGTAGATTTAGCCAACGATGCGAAACAGCTTCCTACCCGTTAAGGAACAGGTATTGTTTACCTCAGTCTCTCATGGCCTTCAGCCCTGAAAATAGAACCCTTGGTTTTGGACAATGCGCGCCTCTGAGGCTTAGTGGTGAAGAGCAGGGAATTTGTAGTGAGACCAACCCCTTCCACCCCAATGCGAATCTAGATTCCACCCTTTATATTCCTATAACCTCGGGGAAAGTACTTAATCTCTTTAAGTCTCAATAACACGGGGAAAATAATAATAGCTGCTTCATGGAGTTTGCTATGAGGCTTAAGTGATGTCATGCATGTACTTTTTTCAGCCCAATGTGACATTATGTTGTGGCTTTCTGAAGATAATAATAAGATTGTGACCACAGGCTCCTTATTCCTAATTAAACAGCATCTAAGAGCCTGGCATTTTCTGCCACAGAGGGCAGCAGTGGTTTAGGTAGCAACCACTTGGTGCAGGGCTGTGAGGTCAACGTTTTGGGTCCTATTAACTACCCATTTTCTCATCACAGGGACAGTGCCAACTGATCTAGAGAGCTGGAGGGAGCTTACTGGCTACTACTGCAGCCTTAATGGAATCAAAGTGAAAGAAGAGAAACAGATAGCTCCTGGGGCCACCTGGACTGTGTCTAATGTTTTTGCCTGTTTCTTATGAGAGTTCTTTACAGAGAGTTCTTATGAGAGTTATTTACATATGTATTTATTTATTTATTTTTCAAAGTCTGTATATTACTATTCTATCTAAAAGCTATGAATGTGTTTGGCAATTCTCTGTACTGTTATTTTAAAAAGTCATTTTTACATTAAATCAAAGTTAGTTCAGTGCTGACTATTATTTATTTGAAGGTGATGTGTTTTAAATGTTTTTCATTCATAAAACTATTGTGGTTTATTTTGGGCCAGACACCACACTGTACCATCCATGGTGATAAAAGCTGGAGACAATAGCGGGGGATCCAAATAAATAGATCACTGTTAAGGTAGGGGAATGTATGTGTACATTTACTTTGTGTACTGATGAGAAGATTGTCAGTTGCTGACGATCTATTTATGGAAATAGTTTCACCATCTGTGGTCAACATTTCTGATGCTGAAACTTTAAAAGTGACAATGTTCTAAATATCCCTTGGACATTTTATGTCTTCCTTGTTAGGCATAATGCCTTGTTTCGTGTTAATTATGCAATATTTTTCTCTGTCTTGGAATAGAGAAGTTTAAATATTTATTGACGTATTTTAATAAATATCATGAAAATAAAGCCCTTTACAAAAATTTCTTGCCTAGGTTTCTTTTGTACTTTTTTTTTTCTGCGGTATGCAGGCCTCACTGCTGTGGCCTCTCCCATTGCGGAGCACAGGCTCCAGATGCACAGGCCCAGCGGCCATGGTTCATGGGCCCAGCCGCTCCGCGGCATGTGGGATCTTCCCGGACCGGGGCACGAACCTGTGTCCCCTGAATTGGCAGGCGGACTCTCAACCACTGCGCCACCAGGAAAGCCCCATTTGCTGATTATTTTTAATAAACAGAAGATTCAAAAAGGTTTTCTTGTAACCTCCCTCTTAACTGCCTAAAAGAATTTAGATAAAGGACCTACTCCTAGAATAGAGGTATCACCAGAGATATCTATAAACAATGTGAGCCAGGGGTGGTGAGGGAAACTCTTTAAGTAGGGCCTAAAAATCAGAGTCTACTTTGTGCCCCATCATCTCTGCCTGGGCCAGCAAATATTGTTTACCAAACATTTGCTTTTCCATCTCCAGGTAAATTGCTTTCCTCCCCTTTGAAGTCCCATTAACATTACCCCCAACATCCTCTCTTGTCTTTAACGGAAGGTGGTATTTAAGGTGAGGGCTTCGGCTATTTTGGTGAAATAATTCAGTTTTCCTGGGTCTCTCCCATGTAGACATGCTATTAAACTTTTGTTTGACTTTCTCCTGTTAATCTATCTCACGTCAATTTAATTATTAGACCAGCCAGAAGAATTTAGAAGGGCGGAGGAAAATTTCTTCCTCCCTAACATTTTCTTTCTGTCCATCTGCTCTGTCACATTATCTTCTGTCTGATTCTGACTCTTCCTACATCCTTTTTATAAGAATCTTTGTGATTATATCAGGCCACCCAGGATAATACAAGATAATCTTTCCATTGCAAGATCCTTAATTTAATCCCATCTGCCAAGTTGCTTTAACAATGTAAGGTAACATATTCACAGGTTCTGCGGATTCGGACAAGGATATCTTTGGGGAGTTATTATTCAGCCTTCTGAATTCAGGGTGCTTGAATTTCAGTGTTAAAAGTATTTTTGATTTGTTTAATAAAATGTATTTATACATATTATAGGAGTGGTGTTGGAGATTGTGGGAGAAACCAGAAAGGTATCAGCAATGGCTAATGTTCAATAAATGCAACTACTGTTAATGTCTATAAGTTAAGGAGAAGCAGATATAGGTATTTTCTCCAGGCTGCTACTGCAAAGCTTCAGAGTGAACCAAAATATATTTATCATATATCTGGAGGGAAGGTGTGAATGACTGGAAGAGCAGGAGGAAATTCTGGGTCTACATTTATCATTGGTCTCCTGGCTTGCTCTCGCAGATATCAACACGTATCCTAGAGCAAGCAGAAATGGCAAGAGTGGGTATCCCATTAAATTGTCTGGGAGAGTTTGGAGTACAAGGCAGCCCTCCACTGGGAACATCAAGGTAGGAAGTGGAGAACAGGGGTATTTGAGAGGATGGTCAAAGATTGATGAGCTCAGGAAAGAAATGTTCGCTGCATGAGCATATCAGTCTTAGAACAGTATGACACAGTAGGACCATGTAACCTTGAGAAGCCACCAGGAAACAGTAATGGCAGCACTGCCTGAGGTTTCCTGGGCAAAGAAGCCAGAGCAGAAGAAGAGGAATGATGGGTGATCCCACTCACTGATTTTGACTACTTACTTGAGAGTTCTCTTGAGATATCCTCAGGAGACTTTCAAAAATTGACAGGATGTGAGAGATAGGAGAGAAAGAGCTTTTGGAATAGCAAGATGGGGCAATGTTTTCTATGCTGCAACAGGAAAATTAGAAGGTAAGGGTCTTGTTTTATCCTAAGTTTCCCATAAAGCAGTCGGAGGTAAAGGCTAGTGCCTTGTTAAGTCCACCAGCTCACATTTGGGACTAATCTTCATCTATGTGTGTGGGACCCTGTGGAAACATTTTATCCTCTGCTTTCAGAGGGATAGCAGCAGGACTCTTGAATTGTGCCTTTTATTTTTATCAGTCCCGTGAAAAGAAAATGAGATGGTCTGGGCAATGGTGAACAGATGAAGTGGACCTGCACCCATAGCAGTGGGTTAGAGTTCAGAGAAGTCTGCTCAATAGGCCACAAAACCTGCAAGGAGTGCATAGAACCACCCAGCCAGTGCCCTTGTAGAGCTGCCTAAACACAGAACAAGAGAGAGAACCAAGGCTTTTGAATGTTAGCCCAGTACACACACCTTCAAAGGCCTGTGGTTTGACCTCTGACCCTAGCATTGTCTGGAACAAGTTATGGGATCACCGTTTCCCTCTGCTTCTCAAGCTTCGTCTCAGACCCTCACTATGAGCCACCGCAGGGTGGACCAAAAGAAAGTTATGGGCATTGTGGCCAAACACACTTGAAAGAAAAAAAATGATCTTCCTCTTTCTGTGACCTTGCCAAATTACTTACCTTCTCTGAGTTTCAATTTCCTCATCCATAAAATAAAAACAAGCCTTGTAACATCGTTGTAAGGTTTCAAGAATATACACCAAAAGCATGTAGAGTAGTACTGGCATAAAGCAATATTCAACTAATGGTTGTTATTTTTAGTATAGTATATGGTATCTGTGTCAGAATAAACAATTATTTTTGAGGAGAGAAATACAGGACACAATTCAAATTGGAGTATTTAATGTGACTTACAAACTTATACATACAGCCCTCAGAGCAGCTGGAAGATCATGGTATTAGATTATTTGAGAATTTGATCATCTCAGAATACTAAGAATTTAGAAATTACTACAAATTAAATATGCTATCAATCTGGCATTGAGTCAAAGCTCTCAAATTACAGACCCATATTTGAAAGTGAAGCTCCCTGAAGACCTAAACAATTGCTTTGACAAATTCCATAATAACTAATTTAGATTCCATTAAATCCTAAACTGTAATTCCAAGTTAGAAGCTGCTCCTTTATTTTGATTCTTCAAACGTTTTAATCTTATGTTTGTATATGTATTTCTTTATTATCATCGTTGGCTACAAACACTGATAATACATAGTTTGATCACCTCCAGTTGGAACATAGAGAATTGAGACTCAAGGAATTTAAGATTGTGTCTGAATAGGGTTTCTGATTCATTGTGGAAGCTTTTTGCCTGGCATGAAGGCCAAGAACCCATCAATCAGTTGAATGTTACAAAGTCATTCAATATTCTTGCATGTGGAACTTAATTCTTAATATGCCATTCCCTGTCACAAGGCTGTGCCTCTTGGAGCATGATTCTGTCTACAATGTTTATCAGTGCTTTCTCTGTATGCTGAGCTTTTATTCATCTTTATAGACACAATTCAATGATTTCTCCCCTGGTGAAGGCAAATGAGATATTCTATTGAGGTCATGTGTAAAGTGGCAGTGTATCAATAATTGTATTAATTATTCATAGTTAAATGGTTTGATTTATTGATGCAGAAAAAATGTGTTAAATATGATATAACCAAGGCCATTTAATAGAACAGTTAACAGAACTTGAGCTCATAATTCACTGTTAGTAATTCAGTTTTTGGAGCTTTGAACCTTAGCATACTCTTGACAGCACAAGAATTATTAATTTATCAGTAGATGACAGATTTAATTAAGACTTTAAATATGATCATGCACACAGACATAAAAGGCAAAGACACATTAAAACATTTTAATTTTATGCTTTGTACAAACATGGTTTTTAAAAAGATGCACAGATTTTCTCATGACAATATTTTTTAAAACATCATTAACCGAAGACGGCATTGGATCCTTCAAAGTAGCATAGTTCCACCTCCAGGAAATAACAAGGCAAAAAGTTCATATCTCTTTTAACAAATCTACTATATTCTGAACTCCCCATCCTTCCCAAATAAAATAAACTGGAAAAATAAATTTCACTTCCTTATTGGCTTGTAACTGACAAATACCCCTTTGATAAGCTTCTCCTTTCATACTTCAGCAAGGAGAGAGAAAGCAATAAAAATTAATCTCAAGATCGTGGTGCATAAAGAACACTATAGTGTTAAGTCCACCAAGGTCTGAAATCAGAGGTGTCTACTGTGATCTCATAAACATTTTTATCTTTTCCTTTTATCCATTGGAAAGTTTTGCAAAAGAGAAACTAGATCTAAAGAGATTTTTCTTTTGGCTTTCAGCAAAACAAAAACTGTGACATATCTAAAATTAAACTAGACGTACAGGCAGGTTGTCATGTCAAAGAAATCCATGTAGAGGCAGAACAAAGTCTGTTAATTACCTTGACATACTGACTACAATGGTCTGTACTTCTCTTATAAGGGGTGATAGTTGTAATATTACTGCAAATCAATCTAGGATGTTTATTTTAATGTTGGTTAGCAAATGGAATTACTACATTCAACTATCTCACATATAATTATCACATTAATAAATTTTCATTGAGTGAAAAAGTTCATTTTCTGCTTATATTGGTTATCGTGATGCTAATAAAGGCCTAAGGAATGGATTTTTGATCTATTCTGCCTAACACAGTTCCATAGTAGCTGCTCAATAATGCAATGCTTATTATGCTATTGGCAAATTATTGTTTTTTTTATTTCTCCTTAATTATTTCTATCAATGTTGAATTGTTAATCCGATATTGTGGCCAAAAAACATAGTTGCTGGAGTATTAACATAATCGTTCCATTTTCCCAGGCCCCACATACCACAGGGTGATGTGGAAGACCAGATGAAGCCTGCATGGGTAGTGGGTTGCACCACAGAAGAGGAACTCTGAGCTTAAGGAGCCCATCAATTTTTCTGGCAAGGAGTAAGCAAATATTCTCTTTGTACACAGGGAGAATTTACCTCATCTCTCAGAATTACCTTGAAGACCCCTGAGAAATGGCCCAGGTAAAAAGTGGTCAGGGTCTAGTCTTAACACTCAGCAAGACAAGTAGGAATGCGAATACATGTAGGAATGCACTGCCTCCCTACAGTCTCTTTTTCTCTAATTAGTCTAACTGAAAATTTATCAATTGTATTGATCTTTAACAAAAATTTGCTTTTTATTTCATTAACTTCCTCTGTTGTTTTTCTGTTTTCTATAATTTAGCTCTTATCTTTAGCTCAACTGTTCTTATTTTTCTAATTTGTTAAGATAGAAGCTTAGGCCATTGATTTTATTTTATTTTTAACGTAATTTTTATTTTACATTGAAGTATAGTTGATTTACAATATTGTGTTAGTTTCAGGTGTACAGCAAAGTTATACATATATCCATTCTTTTTCAGATTCTTTTCCATATAGATTATTACAGAATATTGAGTAGAGTTCCCTGTGCTATACATAGGTCCTTGTTGATTAACTATTTTATATATAGTAGTATTTATATATTAATCCCAAACTCCTAATTTGTCTTCCCCCATCAACTTTCCCCTTTGGTTTGTTTTCGGAGTCTGTGAGTCTAGGTATCTCCTCACACCAGTCAGAATGGCCATCATCAAAAACTCTACAAACTAGTGCCAGAGAGGGTGTGGAGAAAATGGAACCCTCCTACACTGTTGGTGGGAATGTAGATTGGTACAACCCCTATGGAGAACAGGTTCCTTAAAAAACTAGAAATAGGACTACCATATAATCCAGCAATCCCACTCCTGGACATATATCCAGAGAAAACCATAATTGGAAAAGATACATGCACCTCAACGTTCATTGCAGCGTTGTTTACAATAGCCAAGATGTGGAAGCAACCTAAATGTCCATCGACAGGTGAATGGATAAAGAAGATGTGGTACGTATATACAATGGAATATTACTCAGCCATAAAAAAAGAATGAAATAATGCCATTTGCAGCAACATGGATGGACCTAGAGATTATTAGACCATTGATTTTAGACCTTTACTCTTTTCTAAAATAAGCGTTTAAGGCTTCCAATTTCTCCAAAAGTACTGCTTTAGCTGCATTGCTCAATTTTGATATGTTCTTTTCATTTTCCTTTTCATGTTTTCTTTGTCCCATGGATTATTAGAAGTTTGTTATCTTTTTACCTACAGAATCAAAGTGATTTTCTTTGATTCCTGGATGTACTACTTACTAGACTTGTAGCTTTGTGCAAGTTCCTTAATTTCTTTGAAGTTCAAATTTATAATACGTAAAATGGGAACAATAAGAGACTCTACCTCCCAGAACTATTGTGAAGATTAAATGAAGCAATCTATGTAAAGGACATAGAAGAGTGCCTGGAACAGAATAAGCCTACAGAAACTGCTAGCTGTTACTATTGATATTTTTACGACTTTTGATTTAATGAATAGAACAGTTCACAAAAATACTCCTGTATTTTTTTTTTAAAGGTTTTTTTGATGTGGACCATTTTTAGAGTCTTTATTGAATTTGTTACAATATTGCTTCTGTTTTATGTTTTGGTGTTTTGGCCACGAGGCATGTGGGATCTTAGCTCCCTGACTAGGGATTGAACCCACACCCACTGCATTGGAAGGCAAAGTCTTAACCACTGGACTGCCAGGGAAGTCCCAATAATCCTGTATTTTTAACATGTAAATTATTTTTAATTTTCTCAATTATGTATTTTTCATTTTGTGTACACTTTTTTCTATATTTTGCATTATCCCTTTAGGCTGGACTACAGGAAAAATTTTTAAAAATCAATACTTAATTCAAGGGCATAAAGATACTTCTGTCTGTTTCGTTCTTCATTATTATCACTAGTTAGGTAAGATGTCTGATTGACCCCTGCCATCCCTAAAGGAAAGTAACCTTGCAATGCCCAAACCGCTTATTTGTCTAGTATAACTTCCTTGTTCCTGCTCCCTTCTGCCTACAAGTCTTTCATTTTGTGAAAGACATACTCCTTAGAACTCCTTTCTATCTGCTAGGTTGGATGCTGCCTGATTCAAATTGATTTTTGCTCAAATAAACTCTTAAAATTTGAAAGCATGCCTCACTTCATCTCTTAACATATCCCAGCATAATGAATGGCCATTCTGATTTTTACTTTTTCAAAGGGAGCTGATGTTCTGTTTTCTCACTACAAATTCACCACATAACACAGGTTCCTAGGTTGTGTAACCTTGATCATAGACTCTAGAAAATAATAGACATTGGCCATTTTTTCCCCTCCAAAGTGGAGATGATAAGGTAGAGCTACAGAAATCCTTAGGTGCAGGCCTTGCTCAGCTAGGTCCTCCTCCTCCCTCCACACACACACTTTGCTTTCTTTCTCCTGCTCTCAAGGTATCCCAAGGTCTCAACAAGGGAAACAGAGAACTTGTAACACCCTTCTTGCTTTTAATGAAATTCCAGGTAGCCGATTGTGGGGCGGAGCTCTGGTTTGGGAGAAAGGGGGAATGCTGCTTGAACTGATTAGACGCTTTCCCTGTGTCCTCGCTATGGGCACATCAGCAGCGTGCCCAGTGGGTGAGAAGCCTAGTCGCCGCCAGGCCACATAGCAAGCCAACAGTCTCTAGACCCACCTGCCAGTACTCTTCCCAGCTTAGGGTTTGCGTCCCGGCTCCGCCCCCTGACGGTCCAGGGGTCCTTAGGCCCCGCCTCCTGACGGTCCAGGGGTTCCTTCGGCCCCGCCTCCGGCCCTCACTCGGCTCCTGGCCCCACCCGTGCGTTGTGCCCTCGGGAACCTTCGGCTGGAGAGGCTCGCTCCCCCGCCGAGCCCGGTCGGGGCAGAGCCCGGCCTGCAGCTGCGAGGACCGGAGCGGCGGGAGGTGGCGCCTCTGTTCTGGAGCCAGGATTAGCGGCCATGACAGTGTCGGCCCGCGCCTTCTGGCTGCTCCGCGGCCGCCTGGGCCGAGTGTCGGCGTTGGGCCGGAGCGCGGCGTCGCTCTTGGCGGCGCCGGGAACGGCCGGGCGCGCGTTCCGGGGCTTTCGGAGCAGCGACTTGAGGTACGAGCGCTCCCGGACGCACGACCTCCTCGGGTCAGGGCGCTCCCGGGTGCAAAGCCGCTGGCTGTGGGAGGGGCGGTGGCCGCTGGCGCGGGCGAGGCCCTAACGCGTGAGGCCGGGGGCTCCGGGCAGCCGTGCGGCGCGGCGGGGCTGGGGGCTAGGCCGGCCTTGGCCCCGAACTTGGCCGCGGGCGGGTAGCGTCGTCCTCAAGTCAGGCAACTTGGACGTGCTCTGCGCTCCCTGGAACTGCAGCAGGTGCGGCTGAGTGACTGAGGAAGACCTTTGAGGCCCAGAGGAGAGAGGCCCTAGAAACACGTGGTCTGCTTGTTTGAAGCATTTGTTTTGGTTTGGGTTATTGTTGTGTTTCGTAAACAAAGGAGTGGGCGATGGCCAGATGGTTTAGTAGTGTTTGAGTTTCTGACTTTCTTTGTTGGTGGTAATACTGAGGTCTTTTCCAGCTCTAAAATTCTTAATGATTTCACAAAATAAGGCATTAATCTTGACTTCTCAGTCTTTTTCTGTATGGCGCTTCTCGAATCTCTGTAGTCTTAGATTGACGTGCTCAGTCTTAGATTCACTGCATCTCTTTGGACCTTGTTGCTGGCTGGCAGATTGTGAGTATGGGTTTAACTCTTCTGCACAAATAGTGCGTAGGAACACTTCACCCGTCCGTCATCTACTTGTAGCTACAAACTCAAATCTAAGAAGCTAAAAATATATTCCCTTGACCCAGAGCCAGTGAGTCCAGAAGAGATTCTGTTTTCAGACTTCAAGGGCTTCCAGTAACGTGCTTTCACTGTGGTTTCATGTGACCGGAGATTGTGTCTTACTTGCCTTTTTGTATCCCCAATGCCCAGCATTGTACCTGGAAGAAAGTAAAGATCGGCAATGTGGAAACATAGCTACTGCTGTTTTAACTTAAATTGGTTAACTCTTCATTGTATATTTGGACCTTAGTCTTGAGTGACTGAAATTTAAAAAAATATTCCTATCGGGTTTGCTTTGGACGAGGTTTCTGTGGACTACTTGTCCTCCACGAGGATATGTGAAAAAATAACGGTGACTCAGAGTTCTGCTTGTAGAAGCTCTCATGGTGTCTGAAAAAATTTGCCAGTTGGTTTGGAATTATCGACTCTACAACCTAGGAAAAGCAGATTCTGTAGAATCCTATTTGTATTACAGGTTTGAAGGAATTATGCACTCTAGTCACCTTTTTTAGATAATTATTTTTGGAATTTCAGTTATTTTACGGCTTCTTTCCATAGTGAAGGTAACCTTTTTCAAATTGTATGACTTGGTTAATTTCCCTTTGTCAGCTGATGTAAATAGACAACCTCATCACCCTATCTTCTCCAAGGACATTGAATGAGAGCCACGACAGTTAAAACCCCAGCATCTTATTGAAGCCACTTGCTACACACATGTGCCACACATACGGATAATTGAGATCTTTTTAAATTGAATTAATGACCTCTATAATTTAAAGTAATTGAGTGCAATAATTTTGGAAAGCTATTTTAATATAAAGAAGTATTGCTTTCAACCCAGCTGCTTTCAGCTCCATTTGATGCAGATTATATCTGTATAAAAATAAATAATACCTTTGATAGGTTTTAATTTTTTCAAGGCAGTACTAATTAGGTTAGGATAGGGTGGTGTTTTTGACATCCTCTTGGCACTGAGTACCATATATGAAGGTGAGGTTGGCTGTAAGGTTGAGAAACACCTGTGGACTGGTGGGTCTCGGGTGGGGAGGAATGCAGACAGTGTGTCGATGCTCATTGGTGTCTCTTTTCTCTTCTAGGACCAGCAGAGAGAAGAGATTCCATGTTCCAGAGGTCGCCACTGTCTGCCTCCCTACTTGTCCCCATCCTCAGTCATCTCTTTTAATATGTTGTGACTCATTAGTTGTCTGGTTCTTCATAGTGAATGTGGTTTAAGTCTGACATCATCCTATTGACTTAAAATTTGAGCCTTAGTGTTATTCTTTCTGAAAAGTGTCTTTGAGTTTGATAAACTCTTTCTGCAATGATATTGACTGTTCTCAATTAACAGATTTATTACCAGTTTATGGTACAGGGCCTTAAATGAAAAATGGAAAAGTATTTTTGATTATTTTTTATATTTTTGGCTAATTAGATACCTCTAGTAATGGAATATATAAATACTTTTTTAGTGGAGAAGTTTCTTTTTAAATAAGCAGAATTTCAAGAAATAATGTTTGACAGAATTTGAAAGTTACAAAACCTTGAGATATCATTTAATATTTATATCTCAATGGTTTCCCTTTAAAATATGCCGTGTTTTTTCCCATTTACTCATGAAAAAATAGATTTATTAATTGGAAGAAAATATATTTAATGTCAAAAAAATAAATAAATAGCCCTTCTATTTGTTGCAGCTTATTGTTTCTTAAAATGAATTACCTAAACAGCCGAAAAGTTACAAATAAAAAATTCTTGGTGATTAAATTGTCCAATTTTGCCTCACTGTGTGAGGAGTTTACAAATCAAAATGTACTTGGGTTGTAAGCATCGCATGAGTCCGGCCCAGTGTTTTTCAGTGTTTGGAGCTGTCCCTTTCGGAGGCAAGGTTAACAGACTTTGTACATTAATGCCGTGCTCAAATCAGATTTGCAGGTGTTCTACAGCGGGGACTTCCCTAAACGCTGCTTTATTGCCTGAACTCATTTTTAGTAACTAAATGGATATCCCAAGCATTTGTTCCATATTTATGCTATTGCTCAGTATTCCAAAAAAAATTAACTTGGCAGATTTCCCCTTTTTTCCCTGTCTTACTATGATTCCTTTCAGCATTTGCAAAATTTTGTGTACTGACCTACAGCTGTTTTTGGAAGCCTCACCTTTTCTTCGTGTCTCACTGCCAATGGCTTTATCATTTTTGCAGCTAGGCCAGCATTTTAAAAAACTAAATTTTTGGAGCTAGTAAGAGATAAGCGGTTTATGTTACTTAAATAATAATGTCTTGTAGAGTGGATAGTTTAATAATTTTAAAAAGACAAATTTTATTTATAAGGCTGTTCATTTTTCTTCAGACTCTCTCCTCTAGTACTTACTCAGTTTCTCTCTCTGCTATATAATTATTTGATTTAAAGATCCTTTTATCCTCATGTGAAGCTTGAAGGACCCAGACTCCAGTTAGGACCATTAGTAAAGCTGATTTTCTTTAGCATTAAATCAAGGAAGATAGAATTAGTCCCAGTGACTAGCAAAGGCAGTTTCTCAAAGGCGTATTATATTTTGCTGGCAAATATAGTGTGATTTTCCTATCTTAATGCCTTACCTATTCTAATGAAAATGAGATATGATAGTTTTTATTTCTAAGCAGTTCTTTTGTCATTTTAAATTTAGAACTAAAAGTTTCACCATTTAGTGTCTTATATATTACTTTTATGTCTGTGTCCCAGCTGTTCAGAGATAATGTGTTCTAACGTAATGTCTCCAAAATCAAGTTTTCTGATTAAAATGGATCAATAGATGAACAAAGGAGACTAATACTAATCTCAGATCTTGTTACTCAGTCATGGTTTTAGTAATAATCTAGCAGTTTCTTTAATGACCCATATCTTTGTTTTTCAGATGTTTTGAAGTTATATTATCCTTTCATGTTAATACCCTGATGGGATGATAAAAATAGCAGGAAAGAAACCCACCAGATTATCTTCCATGGTTACATACTCTTAATGGAATTCAATGGAGCTCAATGAAGATTTTTTAAAAATAGTTTGGCTTAGGGGCAATTAAGTTGTGAAAGGATGCTTAAAGACATAGGAGCTTGGGTGAAATCTGAACTGTCAATGAGTGGGATAAATTAATGATTAGTAATAAGTGAGATTTACTATTAAGAAGTGTAATTTGGACCAGAAAAACCCCACCTAATTTGTGTATGGAATATAATCCAAACCTAAATTAACGTCAAAGGAGAACTCAGGGTTGGATAGTATCCAAGAAGGCTTATCCAGCTATTCCACTTAATATTACATCATATGCATTTTCTGTGTTGCTATTGGTTTTTTTTTTTTTTGCGGTACGCGGGCCTCTCACTGTTGTGGCCTCTCCTGTTGCGGAGCACAGGCTCTGGATGCGCAGGCTCAGCGGCCATGGCTCATGGGCCCAGCCGCTCTGCTGCATGTGGGATCTTCCCGGACCGGGAAACGAACCCGTGTCCCCTGCATCGGCAGGCGGGCTCTCAACCACTGCACCACCAGGGAAGCCCTTGCCATTGTTTTTGTTAACATTTTATTGACTGCATCATATTAAGTCAAGTGGCCATTAACTTACCTAACCATCTTGCTGTTGTTTACTGTCTAGTCCTTGAAACATGAAATAATTTACTCTCAGATTCAGGTCATGTTCTTGTCAACATCGTACCAGCCAGGTTTGTTCACTTAATGATCTGAACTCTACTTGGGTTTCTATAATTACTTTCATTAAAGAATGTGCCTAGAGCCAAGAGCCTATTCAAAGATTCGTAATTCTAAAGTGAGGGCATATTATAGTTTAAAATATATGTTTCCTCTTCCCACTTCAGCTCTTTATCATTAACTCTGCAATGAATATCATCTTGCCTTTGAATAATCCAGTTGTATTGTTGAAAAATAAATTCTTATTAATATTTAAGGGAACATTAAATAACTTGTCCAAGATAACACAATAAATAAATGGTGAAGACAGGATTTGAACCTGCATGATCTGTCCAGTGCTTTACAAGCAATTTATAATTGTTGACATATCTCCCTCTTGCTTTTCCTCTTTCTGAAAACTCTTATTAAATCCTGTAGAACTTTTGTGAATCAAGAAAACTGATTTTGCATATAAATCTTAAAAATTATCTAGTTAGATTTCCTTAATACAGGGTGTCTCTTAGCCTGGGACCTAATGGATAGAATTTAGGGAATCCCTAAACTTAGATGGGAGGTCACTGACCTCTAATAAACTTGGCATTTTCTTCAATGTTGAATGTTGGCCTTAAACTACAGT